TGTTTGGATATTCTACTTAGTTTCCGTAGATTATTCGGCGGAGTTTCCATAACCTTTATGTATCCGAATCTGAGGTATCTTCACTACTGGATCGAATTTAGCTTAAAAGTATTATAATTCGTCAGAAATTTGGCGTGCAAATCCACCGGTGGATCATATAAAATTAGTTTTACAAATCTGATTGGTATAGAGGGTAGCGCTCCCGTGACAAGCGTAGAAGACGTCCACTGTACCCGTTACATCTTGACTCTGGACAGAGTCTAGTTTAACGCCGGTCACCACACGATAATCTCGTAGAAGAGAATGGGCCTTATTATTGCTGTGTACAGCCAGAGTGATATTTGTCATAGTAGGGGAAGAGGGAACGCCCCATTGGTGAGTGCCTCTGGTCTCGTATTTAGTTCTTAAATAATAATTCTTTTTTTGAAAAGAAGCTTAACAAAATCCACCGGTACCGGTTGCACTCCAGCCCGTTAGGAGGGATTTAACAACAGATTCGGGATGAACATTATTGAAAGCTACCTCGATATCGAGGAAAAATTCCAGCGAATATTCCTTGCTGTGCAGTCCTTTTTCAATCGTTGATACAACTTCATGGCATGTGGTCTCCAGTGAAATTGCAATTTTTTAGATTGCGCCGAATATGTTCATCTTTGGAGTTTTAAAAAAAAAAAATTAAATGCATTTTATCGCCCTGAAATCTTTAAGTGTGACATATTTGCGGGAATCGATAATGCATTTGAGAAATGCGGCTTTTTACACAGAGATGACAAACGGAACCAACCCAAAAATTCCATGTGAAACGGTTCTTTGATACACCTCGATTCACACTCGCTCGCGGAGTAATTGTTTTGAGTTTGTCTGATTATAATTACAAATGTTTGCGAATTGCATATGTCATCTACTTACATACACACATACAAATATACATATGTATAACCGTTACGCATTACAAATCACACAATTTCAACGTTAAGTATTTGGTACTTTTGTTTTTCTTTCACTGTCGCAACTAAGTTTGTTTAATGTGAAATGTCTGGTCCGAATATCCCCTTTATTTTTCCTCCTTTGTTATTACTCCTTTGTTATTCGCTTTGCCGTTATTCCTATTACTTTTGTAACCATTGTTGAGCAAAATTTTCAACTCCATTAAACTTGATAAGCGCACGTTGCGAGTATAAAAATCTTTAATGGTTCCTATGAGTGGTAGCAGTAAATGGCAGGTTCCACTAACAAAAGTGCGTGTTTGAGTGCCATTTGCCAATTGGCCTTCTACGCCGTATTTTTGTTTGCTAAGAGACGTGAAAAATGGGTTATGAAGGTAGAAAATGACATTATGGCTGAAAGCAGAGTTGAATATAATTTTCTGCAGAATTGATTGCTAATGAGTGACAAATGGATTAATGCTTCTTATCAACTACACAGATAATTTTTCGAACGGCATTTGTAATGCTATTTTCGTTCGAAGATGCAAACAGAATCAGTGTTGCAAATAGTTACGCGTTATCTACACAAAATAGTGGAGGTTAATTTTAATTTAGATAAAGGATTTTAAAATAATTTAAAATACTAGCTTTTGCCTGAGGACCCGCCTGCGTGATATACCGTTTAACTTTATGCTGGCAAATGTTACAGCTGCACCTCAATCTGTTGTATCGAATGTATGTATGTAAATGCTACTTTTCTAAGACTATATTCAAACTGGCCGATTAGCTGAGCCTATAAAGCTTTAAATTGCGGCATTGAGTTTGGTGTTCACACACACGTCAGCTGCGCAATTAGCGATACGAAATCAGCTGTTGGTTTACCAACAGTGATGGAAGAGTTGGTACAATCGTACCTTTATTTAGCTCGAAAGTACATTCGGTACAAACACACAATTTTTGGTACATTTGGAACGTAGCCAAATAACTTCTCAGGAAATCAGTTCTTATTTTTATTTAGATTTCAATGCATTTTCTGGTGCGAGCAATTGGTCTAATGGCTTCACTCCTTTGTGTCAAAGTAATGCAACTGTAGTTGTTTGCGCCAGATAGACGGAAAATATTTCTTTTTAAAACGTCACATCGATGAACTCGGAGGAAAGTGATTCATCTTTTCTACAACATAGTTTTGTCTCGCGCTGCTCGAAGAGATTCTTTTCATAGCGAAAATTTGTTTAGTAAATAAGTTTATATGGTATCGATCCTATTTTTCTTTATATAGAAATACATATATACTTTTTAGGCACATCTGTTTACTTTTAGGTAAAGTTTTCCTTAAACTAGGTACAATTTTATAATTAAATTTTCCATCCCTGATGGAATATCGGCTGTAAAAGAGGACCAGAATCAATCAGCTGATTGCTCTTTGTTCAATAAACATACCTCCAAGTCAAAATTAAACATACCTAGCAGGGTTGCATAGTGAATCTGATACAAATTAATTGTCACTTAATTATTAATTGGCCATTAATAATTGGAATTTTCGAATGATAAATTGGGTAACCATTAAGGCTTAAATTGGTGAAAAGATTCTTAATTGCCAGTTAGGTGCCTGTTTGAACATAGTGTAATGCGTTCTAATATATAGTACATGCAAAAAAGTAGCATTTACATGTGCAAATACATATCGTGTAAAAGTCCTGTAAGGAGTTATGCTGATCATTTTGATGCTGCTACTCAGATCTTTATCGAATCAGTCTCGATATTTGCCTTTCCTGGGAATTCTGGGATAAAAATTATGTCTCAAGACACGGTGAATATTTGAGTCACACTTTAGCTAACTCGTACGTTTCAGTAGAAAGAGCAACTTATCTTCCATAGATAGTCTTTATATGTAAGAATATAGTTTAAGTTTCATATCGATTTAAATTGTTATTTTTTTTTATTTTACATAATTAGAACAGAACATTTGATTTAATAAATTTTGGAAATGTGGCAGCTCTCTTATAAAATGGTTTCAAACAAACTTGGCAACTAATTTGCTAAGTACAATTTTATTATAAAAAAGTTGGCGACTCTCTTCAAAAATATGTTGAAGAAAAACTTTCTTTATCTTCTTTCGTTGCATTTAGCCTCTCTTAAAAATAAATTTCGAAATAAAGCTTTTTTAAACTTCTCTGGAAAAAAAAATATTATTTACTTACCTAGAAAATTGGAAACGATTACTCAGCGTGTCACTTATTACCTTTTCACTTTATTTTGATTCTCAGCACTTATAATTGTACTCGTAGAATTGTAAACGTTTAATTTGTTTTTACACCAAAATGGATACTAAATTATCCTTAATAAAAATTTATTTACTCGTATCAAATTGTACTTGTTTTTATTTTAATTTCTATGTATTTTATTTGAAAGTTTGTTTCTCGGTTTCCAGGAGAAAATGGCAACATAATTCTCTCACGGCTCTCGTTGCACTTATAAATTGAACTTAAAAATCAAAAATCTATAGTTCTCCAAGTTTCTAAGTGAAGTTCTTTTTTTGGGTACATGTGCTGCTCAATTGCCAGATATACAATTTTCAAGCCAAGTCAAAAGAAAATAAATAATAAAAAATAAGCAGATAAAAATTAAATTTAATTTAAAAAAACATTCCTCAATATAATTAACAAACTAAAATTCCATTTAAAAAAATTTAATTGAACAAGAAAATAAGTTAAAAATTAAATGAATTTAGAAAAAAATATATATTTTTCTTTTTAAAACTAAAAAAATAAAAAAAATTTATAAATAATATAAAATGTGCGATTAAATGAAAGATATAAATTTCTAAACGTTAAGTGAAATAAAAAAAAAAACATTTTCAAACAATAAAATATTCTAATTAAACAAAAAAATTATATTCAACAATTTGCTTTTCCACAATAAGTTTTCACTGAAAACAGCCTCGAGCTCATAAAAATTGCTGAATATAATTGTTATAAAGGCCATAAAAATAACAAAAACAAATTAAACAAAATATTAAAATAAATAAAAATAAAAAATATAATAAAAAACTAAAACACAAAAATACGCTTCTTTATATTCAATAGAATCTGGAATTAAAACGAAAAAAAAACTAAATAAATTAAGAAGTAAAATATATAGGTACTAAAAAAGAAAAAAATTTAATAAATTCCTAAAAACTAAATCAAATTAAAAATATGTTTCTTTTTGAAACAATAAAATCTAAAAATGAAAAGAAAATGAAATGAAAAATAATATTTTTTTAGTTAAATTTTTTTATTTGACTCGGCCTCGGATCTCCCAAACGGACGCCGGTGCTTTGCTGCCTCAGCCGTTGTGACTGTTGGAGCAGCGCGAGCAATATGATATTGTACAATTGCTTTCTCTCAAAAGAACTTTTCACCATGAAAGTTGGCAGGGGAACTTTTTCTTGTAAGACTTTCGTGCCAGAATAAACAAAGTCGATCAAACCATGATAAAAACATAGTAAGGTAAAACCGTTCTCTCAATTCGTCGGCCATGATTTTTTTTTGAAGTTTGCTAACATTTTAAAATCATATAAAATTGAGAGTAGAAAAAAAGAATTGTTCAAAAATTCCTCTCAGCGGTTCTACCTTCCTATTTTTTTATCATGGATCAAACTATCTTGCCTACTGTCTTTCAATTGTCTCACAAAAGACTTTCACCTATCTTGGCCAGATATACCCTGTTAGTCTTTCCGTGGAGAGTTAACAGATAAAAGCTTAGACTCGGGTACAAAGCTCTTCTCTTTAAAGAAATATTCAAAGTAGAATAAGCAGTTTCTCTGTAGATATTACCAGTTTTTCCCCATAAGTCGGTGGGAACATTAACTTTTGATCGGCGTGGTGTGGAGGATAAATTTCCACCAACTGAAGTAGTTGGTTTTTTGTAAAAAAAGGGTTTTTGGTGCGGTTTTTGGTATGAAACTAAAATGTCAATGTGTAAATCATGACCATAACTGTCATTTTCCCCAAAAAAAAAAAAATTTAACAAAAACGTTATCCTCGTTTTTCAATAATAACTTCAATCAAACTTCCAATCTTCTTCTTACAGTTCATCAAAAAATATGCACCATCAGCAACATTTTGAAATTTGTCAAAGGGAGCTGTAGTAATAGAAAGAATGATGAAAAAGAAACTCAAATCAGCCTTAAATCAAAGTAAACTGCATTTATAGGAAGAACTGAAGAGCCGATAAAGCAAAATAGCAAAAACTGGCGCAGAGGCGCAGCGGTGCAAAGGCATTGGGAAAAATGCCGCCTATAAACGAAATACTACGAGTGAACAGGAATTTTCAAATCATATCATGTGTCATCGTGTTGCTCACAGCGCATAGCATACAACTAGGTAAATATACATATGAACACACACACCCGCATATGTATTAGGGTGGTCCAAAAATGAATGTGGAATAAGTAAAGTCGGAATTCTAATGCTCTCACCCACTATACCGTTTTTTTTTTTTTTTGAAATCAACAAATATTTAGAGTTCGCTCAAAGCGCTCAAAGTTTTCCATATATTTCACATATTTATATGGAGAAAAAAACGTTTTTCGTGGCAGTGGTATAGGGTTCTTGAAAATCAAAATTTTTCGATCAGAAAACTCTGTTTCTCTTCAGGAGACTGCCAATAGTTAATAATACCCTATTGTTTATTTAAAAATGGTTTAATAATTTTTTATTGGTTCACCCATTACGTTTTCTGGGGTTTTTGTCGGACGTATAAAATATAGTTACTATGAAAAATGATTAAATAAACAATTGGGTATTATTACTGGAAGTCTCCTGAAGAGGGGAACACAGTTTTCCGATTGAAAAATATACCATATCTACGACATGTTTTTTTTTCATATGAAATATATACATGAAAAACTTTGAGCGCTGTGAGCGAGCTCTAAATATTTTTTTGATTTCAAATAAAAAAATTGAGGTATATTTTTGCGGTATACGACAATCCTAAGGGGTGAGAGCATAAAAATTACGACTTTACTTTTTCCTATATGTATTTTTTTGGACCACCCGAATGTACATATGTATACAATATCCTTTGCATGCAATATGGTCTTCAAATATGACAGCCTAACAGCTCTAATGGGTTTTCGTTTATGTTGTTATTTTTTTTTTGTGCACGGTTCTTTTTTTTTTGTATTTCTTCTCTGCAGCTAACTGTATTGACTGTTTCAAATGCGTCTCATTCAACGGAGCCAACAAGGCATGTGACGATCCTTTTCACAACAACTATTCCACAGCCATATTGGAGTCGCCGTGCATGGGTGGACGGAAAGGACGTGACGGTCTCTTTCCGGCGACGGCCTGCATCAAAATTGCGGGCATTTATGGTAGGTCAGCTGAGCGAAAGGTAGTTAGATATGTGTAGTAGATGGACTTGGGCATTTAGTTAATACAACTTTGATACGCTTTCCGTTTACTGCACTCAAATACAAGCACACATACTTGTATACGCTTTGCTCACAAAATCGATGTACTTTTTGTAAAGTTCTTGTTTTTCTTATGCAGATGACACTGGCGAATCGATAACGGTACGAGGTTGTGCGCTGGACAGTGGCACACTCACCACGGACACGGAAATCATACGAATGTCACATTGCGGCAAATTCTACTATGACGACAGGTAAGTGTGGCTGCGGGTAGTCGCTATGTATTCGTATTTAGAATGCGTGTGAGCATGTGTAAGATGTGGGAGGGATATGAGGATGGGGAGAAGGTGAAAGGATCAAAAAGGTTGATTGCGTTGTGTGTTCTGCTATGCTTTTGTGTGCGTTTCTCTACTTCTATTTAGTGTGTGAATTTTTTACTGTTGTCCATTTATTCGCAGATACGTGCATGGTTGCCTACAAAGTTGCAACGATGCAGATGCATGCAACCATGCGGCGGCGAGCTTCAAAAGGCTCTCACGGCAATCACTGTGGCAACATTGTAGTTCAGTGTTATTAACATTCATAGCGTTACACGAATATCTACTCGGTCTAATCAGGTAGCAGCAGTGTACAGGTTGAGTGCATAAACAAAGAAAGTTGATATGAAATGCAGCAGCATGGCGAGATGGCTTCATAGCAAAATGCTGATTCGATGGCGGGTATGGGGGACGTTGTACACAATGTGAATTTACAAATAGTTTTAAGTGTTATTATATAACTAGAACAGATCAAATATAAGTAAACTTACAAACAAACATACACACACAAAATTGTATATATATATATATATTTACACAAACACTGCAAGCAATTCGAATTGAGTATCGAAATACGAGTATGTACAACATATCGACGGTTGCGCGGAAGATCGACCTATCTCGGCAGCTAGTTGGAAAATGTCCTATCTCAGAATAATTTTCAAAAATGCCCTATTTTAGAATTCGGTTCAAAAACGCCCTATCACAACATAATTTCAAATTTATATTTTCAGTTGAGATAGGGCATTTTTGAACCGGCTGCCGAGATAGGTCGATCTTCCACTCAGTCGTCGATATACATACATACATATGTACAGGTATATATTTTCAACAAAGAAACTTTTTGTGCTTACGAACTAATTTTTCTATGGAG